ACGTTTCCTAATTTGTTTCATGTGTAAAAAAAAGGGTAAAATTAATGGTGGAAAAAAGTTTAAATTTTCGTGATATTATTACAAGGATAGTGTATTGAAATGTTGTTTGTTAATTTGTTCAAAGGATGAAAAATTCACTTTGCATTTGAAAGATCTAACTACACATGAAACAACTAGAGTCTTTATGACAAATCATTAAGAGTGTTTTTCTTAATCCGTAGTCATTCTTGGTCACATCTATGATTTTATTGAATTGAAAATGTGAGAAATTTTGGCAACCCAATTGTTAGTGAAATTAATGAAGAATTATCATTTCAGTTTATTAACCTCTGTGACCAAATTGAGTCTTTGAAAACGCACACGTCGATAGACTGAGTTCTCTCTTTACATTCATGAAAACAACAGTCTTTGAAGAGTATTTGATTCTTTTCAAATACTAATTGAATACATAGAGAAACAAACTTTTTGTACTAAATAATTTGCTAAAAAAAAATCTGTGTATTTCTAAACTCCAAGGTCAAATCTGATATAAATCGGTGGAAAATCTGTCTTTTTTTTTTATAAAAAAAATTGGCGGGAGAAGCGATGAGCATCGTCTCCGTCTCATCATCCACATCGAAAGTTCAACAGATCAAAACCCTAATCTCCTTCGCATCAAACATCAACCATCTGAAGCATTTCCACGCATCTCTCATTCGCCACAATCTCCACCATGACACCTTCCTCGTTAACCTCCTCCTCAAGCGAACTCTCTTCTTCCGCCAAAACCATTACTCTTTTCTCCTCTTCTCTCATACCCAATTCCCAAACATATTCCTTTACAATACTCTCATCAATGGTTTCGTCAACAATCATCTCTTTCACGAAACCCTTGATCTCTTCCTCTCCGTTCGCAAACTCGGTCTCTCTCTATATGGTTTCACTTTCCCTTTCGTTCTCAAGGCCTGTACCAAAGCCCAGAATCTCAACCTCGGGATTCACCTTCATTCTCTTGTCGTGAAATGTGGGTTTTATCACGATGTTGGAGCTATGACGAGTCTGCTCTCTATGTACTCTGGATCCGGGCGTTTGGATGATGCACACAAAGTGTTCGACGAAATTCCTGAAAGAAGCGTCGTTTCTTGGACGGCCTTTATAAGCGGGTGTATTGCTGCCGGGAAGCAGAGGGAGGCTATTGATTTGTTCAAGAAGATGGTAGAGATGGGTGTGAGACCGGATAGTTACTCTATTGTCCGGGTTTTAACTGCTTGTGTTTCGGTAGGGGATTTAGATAGGGCGGAGTGGATTGTTAAGCTCATGGATGAGATCGAGATGTCGAAAAACTCTTTTGTTTGTGCAACACTTGTCAATCTCTATGCAAAGCGTGGGAAGATGGAGAAAGCCCGTTCTGTTTTCGACTCGATGGCTGAGAAAGATATAGTTACTTGGAGCACTATGATACAAGGGTATGCGTCGAATAGCTTCCCAAAAGAAGGTGTAGAGTTATTCCACCAGATGTTACAGGAAAATCTAAAACCTGACCAGTATTCCATTGTTGGGTTTCTTTCTTCTTGTGCAAGCTTAGGAGCGCTTGATCTAGGCGAATGGGGAAGTAGTTTGATAGATAGGAATGAGTTCTTGACCAATCTGGTTATGGGTACTGCGCTGATCGACATGTATGCAAAATGTGGGGCTATGGCTCGAGGTTTTCAAGTCTTCAAAGAAATGAAGGAGAGGGATAGAGTATTAATGAACGCTGCAATTACTGGTCTGGCCAAGAATGGCCACGTTAAGCTCTCGTTTGCGGTTTTTGGACAAACAGAGAAGTTAGGTATCTCACCTGATGGCTACACATTCCTCGGACTGCTATGTGGGTGCGTTCACGCAGGCCTAATCGAAGACGGGCTACGGATGTTCATTGCCATAAGCTGTGTGTACGCTTTGAAACGCACGGTTGAGCACTACGGTTGCATGATAGATCTTTGGGGCAGAGCAGGAATGTTAGATGACGCATACCGCTTGATCTGCGATATGCCCATGAAGCCAAACGCGATAGTATGGGGAGCGTTACTGAGCGGATGCAGACTGGTCAAAGATACGCAGTTAGCAGAAACCGTTCTCAAAGAACTCATTGCTTTGGAGCCATGGAATGCAGGAAACTATGTTCAGTTATCCAACATCTACTCTGTTACTGGAAGATGGGACGAAGCGGCTGAAGTTAGAGACACGATGAACAAGAAAGGTTTGAAGAAGATCCCGGGATTTAGTTGGATCGAATTGGAAGGGACGGTCCACGAATTTCTCGCAGATGATAAATCTCATCCTTTAAGCGACAAGATATATGCAAAGCTAGAAGATTTGGGTAATGAAATGAGGCTTATGGGTTTTGTTCCAACAACAGAATGTGTTATGTTCGATGTCGAAGAGGAAGAGAAAGAAAGGGTCTTGGGGTATCACAGCGAGAAGCTTGCGGTTGCGTTTGGATTGATCAGTACGGTTCATGGAGAAGTGATTCGAGTGGTGAAGAATCTAAGAGTATGTGGAGATTGTCATGAAGTGATGAAACTAATATCGAAGATCACGAGACGAGAGATTGTTGTTAGAGACAACAATAGGTTTCATTGTTTTACAAACGGCTCTTGTTCTTGCAATGACTACTGGTGAGAGTCGCATTGATTTGTATTTTATGTAAACCGTTTATCCTGGTTTTCGAATCAGTTTCTTCGGTTTAGTTTTTTTTATCGAATCAGACCGGTTTATCCGGATTCAGAAAAGAGAACCAAAAACGACGACGTATGTCTCTGAGCCACCTTTAAAACGCGTTCTGAAAACGATTCATCAAAGACAGACAGTTGAATTCGGATATGGAGGAGGGAAGAATCGGAGGGGACGAAGTTGGAGAAGAAACCAAAAAGTTGTCGGAAGTAGTGAAAGAATGTGTTTCGCGGTGGTACAAAGAGACGCTCAAGGAAGCACAAGACGGGGATATCAAAATGCAGGCCCTGGTGAGTCAGATGTATTTCAATGGCTATGGTACCTCCAAAGATCCTCTCATGGTTCGTTTCTTTTTCTTTTAAATTTCTGATTCATTGTAGTTGGATCTTCTCGTTATTCGGATTTTGAAATCTTCCCCGCCCAAATGTCGATACTAGGGTTTTATCACGGAACTGAAATACACTAGTACAGTTTAATCTAAAAATGTTAATTGCTTCCAATTTCACCACTGATTTTGGAAGGCAGAACAATCACAAAAGGTTATGCGAATGGAAAAACGATTTTGTCCTCCAGTCTTAGTTGCAGTTTTTCCACTGAAATGGCTATATTTGATTTTCTTGGGAAAGAAATTGAATCCCCTTGTAAAGAAAGACACATGTTCTTGGGTTTTTAGACCTTCTTAGTGTTAGTGGAATGGTTGCAGGGGAAGTGTTCCTTCAGTTCAGGCTGTTAGTGAAAAACACCCAGGTCATTTCCTTTCTTCTCTTTGCACTTCCTTCTAATTAAAAAGGGCTTCATTGCATTGCGTTAATCTTGGCTACCATTTTGATTTCTTTTAGGCTACGGTGCTAGTGACTCGGATTCGCGATGAATTTAGAGTAGTTGATTGTACACAGCTTGGTTGAAAAGAGACAATGACTTGGAGAAAACTTATATGATTCTATAACCTTTTCGAATTCACTGTTACTTGTAGAATTTGACCGGCTCACAGTAAATTTCGACCATGTTTTTTTTTGGTAAAATAATTTCGACCATGTTCATTAGGGATGTTCATCATATTATCCCCATCTGATTTAATGTATTTTTTCCTATTGGAAACTGTAAATTGGTTAGTGGCATCATTAGTTTTTCTTTATATATTGATTGAGCAGCTACAAAAAGAAAAGAAGTAGCAACACTCGGATCTTCTTCTTCTAACTCGAATTTTACCGTTTGCTGGTTATCGGGAATAAAAACCGAGCTATTCCTTGAGCATGAATGATTACTGAAAAGGAATACAACAGACAAATCTATATCAACCGATTACACAGTATCCAAATCTCTCTCCTCTTTCAAAGACATGACCAGTTTTCTTTTCTGGAGAGAATGAATGCATGTGAACCCAAATTATGAAAGCCTTGCAATTTAGTAACGGCCCATAAAGCCCAACAATTTTTAACACCAACCTAATGCGTCTGAGTAGCCCTTTCGCCGCCGGAGTGTTGTTACCCAAAAACGTAACCGCCAATGATACCCCCGGAAAGGAGCACGACGAAGAAGAGGAAGCCGTCTCCGACGACCTCATATCCGTCGCTTCCCAATGATTTGATATTGAGCTGCCTCGCACGCGTCTCAAGGTTGTACTATCCGACTCTCTCGCTAGTCTCTAAGGTCCCAATTCCCGATTCTCCTCGTGCAAAATATTCAGGTTTAATGGCTGTTGGTTCTAATATCTACAACATTGTCGGATCCTCCTGTTATGCGACCAATCGGCCCTCATCTAGGTTCTCGATTCTGGATTGCCGATCTCACACTTGGAGCGAAGCTCCAAGCTTGCCGGTGAAGCTAACCTCGGTTTCTTCTAGCGTCTTCGATCGGAAGATATATGTAGCAGGACGCTGCAAATTTGGCAGTGGTGCTAATTCTTTTAAGAACTCGATGCAGGTGTTCGACACAGAAACACAAACTTGGGATCCTGAACCCATCCCTTGCAGTGAGACAATTGGCGAGCTTTACGACCAAACCGCATTCATTAACGGAAAGCTCCATGTGGTAACTTTGGGTGATCATCAAAGGGTGGTTGCTTACGATTCTAAGGAAGGTAGATGGGACGTGGTTGAACCAGGAGGTATGGGTCATTATATGTATTCAGATTGTTGTTGCGAGATAGGGAATGTTTTGTACTCTGGTAAAGACGGGCTCAAATGGTATGACACTAAAGTAAGCAAGTGGAGAAAGTTGAAGGGTTTGGTAGGAGTGCCTGAGTTCCCTCATTATGCTAAAGTTAGATTGGCTGATTACGGTGGAAAGCTGGCGGTTTTGTGGCAAGAGATCTGGCCTGTAACTCCCTCCTGTTTGGATATTGTTTCCTGTGCGGTGATTGAACTTGAAAGGCGCAAAAGCGGTGCAATTTGGGGGAACGTTGAGTGGTGTGATCAAGTGCTTCGACGCAATGGATATGAAGTGGTGAAAGTTCTTGCTGCCACTGTTTGATGAATGTGTCGCGAGTTTTGAACCTGTGTATTCTTTTCGTAATACTATCACTTGGAATGCATGTGTTCTTTTGGTGTATGGCACTATCGTTAATGTACTTGTTGCCTCTCTTGTTTCCATTTGATGTCACTTGTTAACTGTTAAGCTTATCTTGTGACTAAAATAAATGTCTAGAAGCACACGTTTTATTTGATTTGATTTGAACAGACTAAGTTCTCTCTTTACATTCATTCATGAAAACAACACACTTTGTTAATGTCCTTGCTCCAAAAGTAGTTTGTCTTTGTTGGAAATATTTTGCTGGTTATCGGGTAAAAATCGAGCCGTTCCTTGAACATGAATCATTACTGAAAAGGAATTCAACAGATAAATCTATGTCAACCAATCACAGTAGCCAAATCTCTCTCCATCAGCAGCTATTTCAAACACATGACAAGTTTCCTTCTCTGGAGGAGAGACCGCAGAGACGAATGAAAACACAAATAACCCACTAGAAAATTTTATTAAAGCCTTGCAATTTAGTAACGGGCCCATAAAGCCCAACAATTTTTTACACCGACATGCCATCTCCATGGTTCTTAAGGGTTGTCTCTTAAATTAAAAGTTATTAAAACACACACTCTCTCTTCCTTATACTCAACTTTATATCTTTTCTTTCATCCTTTTACTCAATTTTTATTAATTTTATATTTCAATACACTCCATTATTTCAAAATAAACTCTCCAAAAATATCTAAAGTATCAACTTTAACATACTCTTTCTTCTTTTTACTCAACTTTTATTAATTTTATATTTAAACACATCCACTATCTCCTTTCTTTACTCAAATTTTATTAATTTTATATTTCAATACACCCCATAAAAACACTTTTTTTTTTATTTTCCTTAAATTTTAATAATTTTTAATTTAAAACACAACCCTTAGCGACGCTTAAAAACCCCCAATGGAGAAGCTCTAATGCGTCGTGACTTCCGAGTAACATTTTCGCCGCCGGAGTGTTGTGACACAAAAACGTAACCGTCAATGAGCACGAGGAAGAAGAAGAAGCCGTCTCCGACGACCTCAAATCCGTCTCCGACGACCTCAGATCCGTCGCTTCCCAATGATTTGATTTTGAGCTGCCTCGCACGCGTCTCAAGGTTGTACTATCCGTCTCTCTCACTCGTCTCTAAGAGCTTTCGATCTCTCCTTGCTTCACCGGAGCTTTACAAGGCTCGTTCACTCTTGGGCCATACCGAGAGTTGTCTCTATGTGTGCTTAGGGGGCTGTACACAAGATCAATGGTTCACCCTCTGCCGGAAACCTGATGACAACAGT